TGGAGGATTTTGTCTATTTGTCTGGGATTTTGAGACATCTGGAAGTCTGGGCAGCTCGCTAATGAGCGTGCACTGATGAACTCTGCGGCGCGCAGCGAGCCCAGCCCATCGGCAGAAATGTCAGCCCTCCATGTGTGCTCCCAGGCCACGTCCCGTGTGTTCAGAACAGCACAGGGGCCTCCATGGCATGCCTGATCAGCCCTCACGGAGGACACGGATACAGCAGGGAGCCAGAGCCAGTTCACCCACAGTGCTGCATCTCCCACGGTGCCTGTGTGTGTACAGATGCGTTTAAAATAGAATTTCTGACCTAGAAGTCCCTTACAAAAAGATGGTGTTCCCAATGTGAAAGTGAGCTAACCCTCCTCCTAATTTTAGAATAGTACAGGCCCAGAACTAGAAGAATGCTTTGCTAAAAATGCTCTATTTGCATCTGTAATGCTGCCTCCTTTACTAGCATTTATTGCTGACTGTCTTCTCAGCTTCTTATTCTCCCATCCAACAGTTATCAATACTCTTTTCCTTGAATTAGCCAGTTTTTCGTTAATGACCAGCAAAAAAGGGAAGGAAGGCAGAGAGTCTAACAACAATACAGCTATTTCTCCAAAAGGAAAAAGCATTACCCAGAATGCATCAAGGAAATGTAATGAGAGATGATAGAGGAAAATAAGGGAAATATTTCCTCACGAGGAGGTTTTAAGTAGAGTCTGGCAATGATCTCCCAAAGGAAGTAGTGGAAGTCTGGTCACTTAAATCAATTAGGACTAACCAGAGCATCGCACTCCCCAGGACTCTGTAAGGAGAAAAGCAATGTCAAACTGAACTAAAATAGACTTTGCGTGCTTATTTTCTGCAGGGCTGCTGTCTGTGTTTTGCCAGTAAATTCAATATGGCTAATGCTGATTAACATCTCTTGATGGTGATCACATCATTGCATTGTTTCCAGCCTGTTCCTCAATAGCACACACTCACAAGGTCCCCCAGCTCAGTCTGAAAGACAAGGGGCAGGCAAAGGGCAGGAGAAGTTGTTTTCTCTCACCTTAACAGTGGTCAGTCTTGTTATCATCACGACGCTGAATTGACTCAGACCTCCCTGCTGCACACTGAGCACAGTGTTCCTGTGGCAGCACAGCAGAGGCAGGAGCTGCAGGTGGACTTGGTCTCTTGGATTGCTGTAGAGCAAGGAGGTGTGCCAGGTGCCTTAGGCAGGGCTGCAGTACCCGTGTCCTCTGTGCACTAGACAGTTCTAATGCATACAAGGCCAGATGGGGACAGAAGCAAGACAAATAAAGTGCTTTGTCCTTAGTCTTGGTGAGCTGTTTGGCATGCTCCAAGTGCACGTAAGGGAAGCAAACAAGTAAACATAAGGGAAAGAAATCAAGCCTCCAAGAAGCTAGGGTCTTTGCTTTTCTCTCTGTGTGAGCATTGTTTTATATGTATGCTTTGCCTTTTCTCTGGCTGGTTTTCTAGTAGCCAGTCAATTTCATTTAAACAATAGAAATGAGAAGAAATTGGAATAAAGCAAAGGATTGAAAGGCAGGAAAGTAGGGACTTGGCATATGAGCTTGGACAGGGTGCCTGGTGGAGGTTCCCACAAACTGACCTGCCTGCTTAAACATTAATTTATACAGAAAATAAGGCTTAAAAGCAAACAACTCTTGCACATCTTATTTTCAATAGAGAAAAAAAAAAACAAAAACCCTGGGATTGTTGCTGGCATGGGTTTACCCATCTAACAAAGTGTAAATGAAGACTGTTGTAGCAGAGAAATTATCTCTTTCTTTCTGCAAACGTAGATCAACTTGTTTTCACTAACTTTTTTCACTGGGATGCATCAGTCAGATCAAATAATTTTAAAAGACTGTCCTTATCTCTTCCTAGAGAAATGCCTGTGTGGTGGTAGTACATGCAGCTTCAAAGGCTTTTCTTTGCCAATGTGCGGTGTTCATAGTCACGCTCCAGTGGCTCGATTCCAGCCTTCCTGCCAGAATGCATCAGATGCAAGCAGTCCCAAAACTGGTGGGGCCGAGGCAGGGAACCTGCCATGGGAGCCGGATCAATATTTAGACAGCTTCAGGCGGCAGAGCTTGCGCTGGCTTTCACACTTGGCAGCAAGCTTTGCACCCGTTTGTTTCCAAAGTTATTGTTTGTGCAGTTTCAAGAATTGGCACTAGAGAGATTTCTGCCTGAGGGCAATGACAAGTGCCGGGTGCTTGAAAAGAAACTTCCCCCCTTTGGATCTGAAGATTGTGAGAGTGAAGGTTGTGTCAGTGGGTAATATCTCCAAAGGAAGTCAAGGCACACATTTGCTCGGAGTTTTCATCATCCTTCACATGAGGCATCTGCTGGGCACCATGGGGAGCCCACGGCACAGTCTCGTGCTCTGCTTCCGATGCATCCGGAGCAGAGCAGCTCTAACAGCTGCCTTGCTGCTGTTTGGTATTGTGGTGATTTACCTGGAGCAAAAGCCTGTGTCAGCGTGGGAGACAGCCTTGCCGTGGGGTTGTGTGAGTCAGCCCGAGGCTGTGCAGAGCGCCTGTGCTGGGGTGGCAGGCAGGCAGGTGAAACCCTGGCCCAGCACAGAAAATTATTCTAATTTGCTTTCCAGCCATTCCACCTAGTGGCCGAGTGGCACCACTGCCAGGAGAGCTGTGTTTGTGCTCCACAGTCCCTGCAGACCCACGCTGCTGCCGAGCTTACAAGATATGCAGCAATATGTAAGCCCCCACACTGAAGATCTTACCATCAGCCTGCGAGTAGCTCATTAAGTTCCCGAGCAATTTTGTTAATCATGCTGCATAGATAAAATGCAGATAGGCCTTTAGTGAGCTGATAATCTAACAAATAGGCAGAAAGTGTAACACTGATAAAGCAGAGATTTGTTTAATAGCCAGCTGTAAATCTTGGCAATTCCGTACCAGAGGCGTATTGTTAAACAGGAATGTGCAAGTGTGTAAGTATGTGCATGAAAATGCACTGCTTCTTAAAATAGCAGATAGAGCAGTAATACTATGGATGGAATAGCTATTGGAAGCAATTTTAGAGGTGTTTTAAAATATTTTTCTCCCCATGAAAATCTGCACCACTTGTGGTGTCTTCATAATCTGCCATCATAAGTACAGATCTATGAATAACAAAGGCTTGTTTGTGGAAGTCAGGATTTTCTATAAAAATCTGTGAACTCTACCTCTGCTCCTGAGGCAGTATAGGGCTTTAGAGGCTTTTCATTGAGATGAACCAAATTATTCACTCAGATACACTCTAATCACGAATTAGTCCTTTGCAAATTCATGGCCCGATGGCTCACCAGCCTTTTGAGCAGCTTCTTTGCTCGGTGGCATTAATTCAATTGGAAGAATAGTAAAAAAGCAACAATACCTTCAGGGTATCCCATACAATCCCAAATATACCCTCCTGAGGAGCTGGGAAATGGGAGTTTCAATCCTCACAGCCTGGGGAAGGAACCTGGTCTCCTACTTTCTAGGATCCCCTTCTGTGTTTAGGCCATTTTGCAAAAAAAAAGGAGACAGCAGTGCTTCCTGTTCTTGTTTGTTTTAAACGAAGGACATGAGCTGGGGATGCCTACCAGAGACATCTGCATCCAGAAGGAGGTTGCAGACCATGCATCCCAACCTCACACAGGCATGCAGGTGTTGGCTGTGCTGAATCCCATCTAGAGGCCTTTGCCTGGTATGCAAAGCACAGGGAACTCAGATAGATGAGTGCTACTTGCAAGAAAGGCAAGAACTTCAGTCTCAAGGAATTGAGAATGAAGGGGCTTACCAGGGTCATGTAGTAGGTGGTTGGTGCAATGAGAAATTGAGTTGTGGTCTTCCAAATCTCAGCCTTGTAGCCAAAGCAGTGAATTTTCTTGTGCAGAAACCTTAACCCTTGATGATGGGTTGTGGTTCTGAAGTAGCCTCTTGCTGCTTCATGAAGAATAATTTTTCCAATCTTTTTGTTTCATACTCATTGGGAGAAAAAAGTGTAAGAGAGGTTAGTGGTAGTCGAAGTATTTTTGTCAAAAATAGACAATATCTATAGTTTACTATGTGGCTTAGCAACTTTTTTGATAGCTGTATGTAAAAATACAACTGTAAAAAATGGGGGGGGGGAAGTGTATATATTTTTTTAATATATGGTCTATTAATGTTAAACACAGATGGTATGGAAAGAAAAGATGAGTAGCAGTGCATAAGTCAGACCTGGAACAGTTGTCTGGAGATCACTCTCCTGGAAACAGTTTTTACTCTTTCTACAAAGAAAATGGTGGAAAATTAAGTACTGGGGTGGGACTCAGAATAATTTCTACCATTTGAACTATAAATATTAATTTCTTTTCTGTTAGCTGTACCTCAGGCTTACTAGAATTGGGAACAGTATGAGGGGAATAATCTCCATGGGATAGAGGAAAGTTATGCAGTCTGTACTTACCTATCATGCAATGGTTTGCAAAAAAATTTAGAAGAAAAAAAGGAAATTGTTTGCTTTTGAAAGAGACAGAAAGATTTTCTGTTGAATTTTGCTGTAATAATAAGTGTTTCGTTATCAAAACACTTTTTGGATAAGGGGTATCTTAAGCTTGAAACCTGTTCATTGGACCTTCCATCAGAGCAGAAGAATCAAGATTAAATTGGTGCTTTCATGATTGGGGGTTGTAGCCCAGTAAAAATGAAATCCATGTAAGACTTAGCAGTGCCCAGGCTAGTTTTGTCAGTCTTTTATTAGGGCAGAGACTTGGTTCATAGTTCTTCAAGATACTTGGGAAAAACAGTCTCAGTTCAACCAGTACAGTGATGTACAGGAGCACCACAAAGGGAGCAGTGCTAGCTCCTGGATGTGGTAGCATCACTGCAGGTGTGACAGAAGAGCAGCTGGTGCTGAGCAGTATTTATTTCTGAATGCCAGATCTGTTAGTTTATCTAACCACATGATGAAGGACTTGGGATGATAGCAAGAGCTGATGGTAACACCGGCAATTGTCCTCTCTATTTTTGCAGGTCACTGTCAGGGGATTTGGTCCATTGTTACAGTTTGCCTACACTGCTAAGCTGTTACTCAGCAGAGAAAACATCCAGGAGGTCATCCACTGCGCCGAGTTCCTGCGCATGCACAACCTGGAGGACTCCTGCTTCAGCTTCCTTCAGACACAGCTGCTGAACAATGAAGATGGCCTGTTCCTGTGCAAAAAAGATACCACCTGTCAGCGCATGCACGATGAGGAGAACTCCGATGGAGATGAGGAGGAGACGATGGAATCGGAGACGTCAAAAATATCTTGCCCGAGGGAGAGGATGCACCAAGAACCCTTCAATTTTGAAACCACTGTTGCTGGAGCGGACAAAGGCGAAGGGATGCTGCCTGACTCTGACATGCTGAGAGATAGCAAGGACAATTTGGATAAAGATGCAGTAACACGGTACCCCAGATACAAGAAATACCAGCTTGCTTGTACCAAGAATGTCTACAATACATCACACATCAGTACCTCAGGTTTTGCAAGCACATTCAGTGAAGAGAGCTCTGGAAATGGCCTCAAATCAGGACTTGCTATGGGGCAGATAAAAAGCGAGCCTCAGAATGAAGAGAACGATGAAGAAAGCATCACACTTTGCCTGTCTGGAGACGAACCTGACATCAGGGATAAAGAAGGGGATGTTGAAATGGACAGGAAACAGCCAAGCCTCACTTGTGTCGACAGACCAAAAAGTGGGTCTTCTCCCTCTTGCTTGCGATCTTTCTTCAACAGAACAAAAAGCATAGATTTGGTTGGCTTCCCCAGCACTTCCCAACAGCACTTTGGCAGGAGTCCAGCATGCCCTTTTGAAAAAGGGACAACTCAGGGTGACCACAAAACTGATTATGTCCCTTTCACAGGGAACTATGGACAGTCCCATGCCATGCAGAAGGATGCTTCCAACTTCACAGTGGGATCACCACTCAGGGGGCCCGGCTTTGAAACTCTCTGTAAGCAAGAAGGGGAACTGGACAGGAGGAGCGTTATATTCTCTTCAAATGCTTGTGACCAAGTAAACACTTCGGTGCATTCATATTCTGGTGTGAGCAGCTTGGACAAAGACCTCACTGAGACTGTGCCAAAGGGTCTGTGGGCTGGCGGCAGCCAGTCCCTCCCCAGCTCCCAGACCTATTCGCACAGCGGACTGACAGCTGATCACCTGCCGGGGCGGATGCGGCCCAACACCAGCTGTCCGGTGCCAATTAAAGTTTGCCCTCGCTCTCCTCCTCTGGAAACCAGAACCAGGACCTCCAGCTCGTGCTCCTCCTACTCGTACGCGGAGGACGGCAGCGGCGGCTCTCCCTGCAGCCTGCGCCTCTGCGAGCTCTCCTCTTCCCCTTGCTCCCAAGGCCCCCGATTCCTGGCGCCCGAGCACCAGGAGCCCGGCGTGGTGGGGGATGGATTGTACAACCCGGTCCGAGCCCAGATTAAATGTGAGCCATCCTATGGAACAAACTCCAGCGATGAGTCTGGGTCATTCTCAGAAGCAGACAGTGAATCATGTCCTGTGCAAGACAGAGGGCATGAGGTAGGGATTTAAGATAAGTACATCTATCACGGTTGTTGTGACCCAATTAATCTCTCCTTGATTCTCTCCAACGACTTTGCATTTCCCCAGCACTTTCTTTGTTTATAGGGGTAAAGAGTAACTTCTGGTTATTCCCTCATGAGCTGAGTGCACATGGTTGACTTCACATTAATAGGTCTCCTTGATCTCTGAGGTGTTCAGCACTTGTATAAACCTGGATAAAGGAAAACAGCAAACTGCTGAATGATGAGAGTGCATTGATGTGCTTAGGAGTCTGCCAGCAGTGTCCTGTCTTCCTCCCTCCCTCACCCACTTCTGTGGCACAAAGCACTGCTCCTTACTCTTTATTTGCTGAGGTGGTTCCAGCTCCACTTGTTACTGCTCTGGGTGTGTTTGAGCAACCTCAGGCTGTTCCTTTCCTGACACCAAGGGTTGGGCAGCTTGCTTGAAGACCCAGGCTGCATGCTACCGGCAGAGGTGTGAAATTACTCAAACAATTGTATAGCTGGGCACCCTGTGCTGTGGGAATGGCATTCATGTCATCTTTGCACGTCTCTCTGTGTGTGTGTGTGTGTGTGTGTGTGTGTGTGTGTATGTGTTTGTGTGTTGCATGTTCAGGTCCTGGGTTTTGTCTCTATTATGTGACAACCTGAGATCATGTTCCCTGCCTGTGACATTTGTTCAGAGCTCTAGCAGCCATGGCACGAATGGTTTCAGAGAGAAGTTATCCTTTAATTTCCAGGATTGTTAAGGCAGTGACAAGAGAATGATCTAGGGCTGAAGAGCAAGCTGTCAATTTCCATGCAGTTCTCCCAAAAGAGGGAGGAGAAAGAGGGGCCTTCTCTAAAACTGCAGATGGGCCAGCTGAAGATGCTGCAGTGATAACTGGCTAACCATGACCAAATAAACTGTCTGTGTGAAGTCACTAGTTTGAGGGCAGACTTAAATCAAGATGTGTTGTGGAGCCCAGAAAGTGGAAAAGACTGGTTGTTTATTCACAGAGCTTCCTTAGGAATCTGCATGACCTAGAGAACATCTGGGTGAAATCAGGTATCAGGTTGCTCTAGTAATGCTGAAAAACTCCAGAGAGCTTTTGCTTCAGTGTGGGGAGCAACAAGTGCAACTTTTGGGGGTTCATATGCAGAGAGCTCCCAGTTCAGAACTATGTGGGCTTAGTTGTGGAGTGGGGACGAAAAGGGTGAACTTTATTGCTCAGTCTTTAGCAACTTTATTCCAGCTACATCCCAGGCTTTATTTTTCAGACAGATGTGGGTGCTTCATTAGTTGGCTGCTTAGCTTTCAGAAAGGGCTGAAGAGCCAGGGGAGCCTCTGGTGTCCTAATCCCCGGTTACACTGGACCAGTGATTCTGAGAGGACAGTTCTTCTTTGTCCTCATGTCATAAGCAGGGGATGATGCAGAAGGGAGAGGAGTCTCTCTGGGAGGCTGTCTGGGATAGTGTGCAGGAGATCTCATTTGGGAAGCCCTACAGCAGCCCAGGCCATAGCTGGGTTACTCAGTGAAGTCCTGCCTTTACAAGGGGCAGAGGGCAACAGGGACCAGGGAACATCCATTTCCACCCAGGTGTGCTGCTTGCTCAGCATGAGGCAGCACAGAGGGCAGAGGTTAGCCTTTTGAGATTTGATAATTAATTAGCTGTCATAATTACCTAATTGTGTGGAAATATGCTGCAGCAAAAATGAGCCTGGAAGAGTGAAATGAGAAGCTTACAGGGGACTGGTGGTTGTTTCCTAGAAAAAGGTATGTGCACATGTGCAGGAGAGCATGGATGAGAGGAGGGACACAAGGAGCAAACAGGCAGCTATGGGAGGCTGGCTGGGTGTGCTGCTGGCAGGCTGACATCTGGCTCTGAGGCAGTGCTAGGAAAGGTTTGCTCCACTCCTGGCTTTGCTGCTGGGGAAGATTTTCTGAACTAAGCTGAGCAAGTTTTCTCCCTGGGACTGCTGATAAGGTGGCTTTTTTTTTTCTTTTTTTTTCTTTTTCTTTTTTTTTTTCTTTTTCTTTTTCTTTTTCTTTTTTTTTTTTTTTTCCTCCCCCAGGGTATTTTGGTTAGGACTGCTAGGCATTAAAAATGTGGTGAGGAAATTAATGCTCCGTGAGGTTGCACTGCGCTATCCTGATCAAGCCAAGGGTAAACAGATCACACCACTGCTTTGGTAGAAATTTTGTTTAAAAATTAATCTTTTGAAGGTTGTTAACAATACAAGAGCAGACTTTGCAGCCTCATTAAAAAATACTGTATTAATACAGTGACTTAGGGTGTGTATCCTGCAAGATCTGCTGCTGTGGAAACCTCAGTAAAGGGTATCTTAAACTAGACAGTAGAAAATAAAGTAACAGCAGCAGGAAGTTCTTGTATAAGTTGTTCTACCTGCTTTTAGCAGTTTGCCTGTGATTAAAACAGCAGGAGAGACTCACAACTGTCTGAAATGGACAGCTTTCTGTTCTTCACCTCCCTGCAAGCTGCATGGGAATCTTTCTCCATTCCTGAAATAGTTGCTTTGCCCTTCCTGTCCTGATGACTTCTCAGACAGGGCCCTTTCCCCCTCCATATCAGAACACACAGTGTTTTCTGGGCTTCTATTCAAAAAGCACCTGATAAGATATCTGGTGACATGCTTGACCTTCTGGAGAGTGGCCATGCAGGTTCTTCTGCTGCAGGTCAGCTTTTATTGGGGTGGGATGGCCTGATGGGAATAAGCCTGGTGGACTCTGACCATCAGTTATCTCAGGGGGCTGCTCAGTTCCCCTGGAATTTGGACCCAGTTGGTCTTAATTTGGCTCCCAGAGTGCTGTCCCTGCCAGAATTAATGTCACAAAACATCACTTGCTGGGGTATTGATTGTGTGAGAAGTAGGTGAGAGGCTTCTCTCTGCTTTTTTCAAGCATTCTGCTTTCCCACAGACAGCTGCCATTCTGGAGTACATGGCCAAAGTTGTTTGGTGCCAGAAGTGGGGTGCTAGGGCTCAGCATGATGCCACGTGGGTGAAGGTGACCCCACCTTGTGATGAGCCTCCATCTTACTGGGGCTGCAGAAGGCAGCCACAACTGTCACAGGAGGTGTCAATCCTTGGAACACCACTGGTAAATCTTCTCCAGGATGTCCTTGCTTATTGCTTCCCTTCCTGGAGCCACCAAGACTCTTCTGCAATCTCCCTTTGTTAAGGCTTCCTGACAGAAGCAGCAAGTGCAGTGTAGGGTGTACCCATGGTACAGAGTTGCAGGAACAGGGCTGTAACTTGAGCTATTGGGACTTCACAGAAATATTTAATAGTTTGTGTTGTTCTTTTCACTCAGTTCTCTCAGGTCTCCCCAGGCTGTGAAAAATCAATTGCTGAGGTATAATACTAGAGAGAAGACTTAAAGCTCAGTGCTTACAGGCAGGTTCTGACAATCCTGCTTAAAATAGCAACAACAAAACAATAAGCTCTGAAATAATGAATTGTTGAGAAGGAAGTAGTCTGTCAATCTGTTAACCTACTTAAGGAACAGAAACTTCTGCACTACCCACTTTTCTTGGTATTCCTTTTCTTCAGCAAGTACTTCAGAGTTTTTATCTGTTAGAAAACTTGTAAGAAATATTGTACTAGTAAACCAGTTAAAAAGAAATCTCAGCTCAGTCTAATATGATAAGTGAGTTTTCTGAGGAAAAAAATAAACAAGGGTAAGAGGAGGTAAGAGGTGGAGTTTTCCAAGAGCTATTACTACCTAGAGAGTTGCGTTCAATGTCTCCTCATCTGTATTTCAAAAGAATTTCCCGCCTGGGTTAGTGACTCACTTTTCAAAGGAAATTTTCATAAAGGGAAAGCTAATGCAATTAGACCTTCGAGGATATTGTAGGTAAATAACTTTCAGCAAGAGTTGAAACCCCTCCGTGTTAAGTGACAGGCAGCCACCCTTTCTCTGTTATCTGCTGGTGCTTAGCAAAATACTGCAAGTCAGAGCCCCGGAAAAGAGGAGTAAACCAAAGCTGCTCTACCAGAAATCTACTGTAACTATGCTGAGTTACCTCATCTGAGACTGCTTCACTGCTTAATATTCCTACTCAGTGAAGAATGTTACATGGAAAGAAGGGCAACCAAGAAAAATACATGTGAAGGCTTTAACTTGCTGTGATATGTGATACCTCCCCAGAATTTGATGATCAGTCACCCCAGCTTTCCTGATTTTGCTAGGTTTGCAAATTTGAAAATGAGAAAAATTAGTCTCCAGATTGATTTCTGATAGATGTTTTCCTGACCAGGAAAATCAATCTGGCATCAGGAGAGCACTGGGAATTGTTTCTCAATGTCTGTTTAAATGGTGTCTTGTCAAACATTGGTCTTGTAAGATAAACTTCATGGAAGTTTTGTTTTCTTTCCTCTCTTCACTAGGAGTGGTCTCCATACTGGTAGCAAAGGATTGCTGGATTATAACAACACTGAGAGTTTGAAATTTCAGGAGAGTCCTTTCAAACACTGTATTATTTCATGGAGCCCTACAATCAATTCTTTTATACTCTGCTCTGAAGACCTTGCACGAGCTCTTGAAGGATTCCAGTTCTTGAGCTGCAAAAGCAACTCTTTCAGAGAAATACTGTACTTTACCCCCTGTCATTTCACTGCCTGATCTTCCATTCTTAAGTGCACCTGTGGCTTCTGTCAGTGTTTCTGTGCTATCCCTGGTTTCAGAGAAGCCTGTTAAAGGGCAGGAGTATCATACTGTTGTGCCCTTTGAAGGGCTGGGAGCTGGGGACACTGCAAGCAGTGAATGGGAGGAGGTCAGCCCAGCATCCTAAGTACCAGCAGTGTGTGGTCTGAATACAAGTCCAAATCATGAGCTAAAGGATGAGAATCCCGTCCACATCTCCTGATTACTGGGTTAATGCACTCAGCCATGGGATTAGCCTGGTCCCCTACTTGTGTGAGGCAGGTAGCAAATGGAAAGGTTACCCAGGCTGCCTCCACAGCAGTGCTCTCTCAGGCAGCACTTGCTGACCCAAACACCTCTCATGGCCCTCACAAGGTGAGGCTGGAGTGGACCCCAGGCCTCTACAGGGCCATCAGCTGTGTTGTGTCAGATGGAACACACTGCAGTGGAACCTGCTGACCTCAACTGGGACAGACAATTTAGACCTGGTTTGTTGACACAATGGTAGATCTTCACTGCCTGGGCTCATCATTCCCCTTTTGCAGTCCTCTGCCATCTTAGTATAGTTGACACCTGAAAAAAGGAGGTGTTTTGAAGGCTTTACCTGTGCCAGGAGACAGCAGGACAAGAAAATGTATCTTGGCTGTCCCTTACACAAAGTATGGCCCATTACCTTTGTGCTTCTTAGATAGCCTGTGTCCAGGTGAGATCAGGACAGGAATAGGTCCCTAGTCTGTAGGACCACAAGTGGTGCCTGAAATACCCTGTAGATAATTCAGCCCCTATCACAGGCAGACACCCCTCAGCTCCTCTCCTGGAATGAATTTCTTCCTGAGTGTGTGTGGAAGACAGACTCGCATGCTAAGGAAGATACTTGAGAACACAACATTAATGCCTTGGACTCTCTTGTGTGAAGCCAAGTTCCTATTTCTGCATTTAAAAAAAAAAGGCATTAATATGATTGAGCCCCTGGGCTGGATTGCTTGGGTGGGTCCTGAGAGCCTCCAAAGAGTCAGCAAGTGTCAGAGGCTTTCAGGATTTGAGGGCACTAAGGCAGCAGGTTTTTTTCTTACATCTCTGCAGCAACTGACCAGCTGGTACAATGAGTTCTACCTTCCCATGCCCACTACATAATGGTTGCTTTTTTTTATGGATAATATATTTGTCCTTTAAGTTACTGTGATGTTAAAGTGTCATTTAGGAAGTTCATTATCTTTACTAACACTTGGCTAGGGTGAGATGATGTCTTAATTAATATATAAAGAAAGAATGAAGAAGCTAAGGTTACCCATAGGATAAAGAAATTTTCAAGAGTTGATATTTTATGTTTTAATGGGAATGAATACAGGTCCTCAGTTCTTTCCTTTAATCCAAGTAAAAAAGAGAAGGGGGAGGGCAGCAAGAGTAACTAGTGCAATAGATGAGCAGAACAGCAGTAACTGGCATATGATCCAAGCTGGCACTAACTAGTGAAGCTTGAAGGAATTAATTGGTTATATATGGGCCTTGCATGTGCTGAGTCAGTCGCTGTCCCTGTCTGCCTACATCACTGCTCTGACTTGGCCTCTCAAAGCATTGACATTTACACTGGCATCCTAATGCTAATAAAGGGGGGGGAATGCCATAAAATCCTAACCAGGTTTCCTTTTTCCCCAGGGTAGATTGGCAGAGTTGGGGCAGTAGAGTCTGCAGTGGTGGTAGAAGGTTTATTTGTTGTGTGGTGGAAAGCAAGCTTGTGCTGCTAGTGCAAAAATGCAGGGAAAGAATAATTGTGCAGATAAGGGAAGATTTTGGAGCTCTGTGAGGTTAGCTCTGGCTGGAGTAACCCCTGGAAGGAGCAGGGATCCCACTTTCATTTTTAATTTGAAATAGTTTGAACCAAAAATTCATAGTAATTAGAAAGAAAACTTTACAAGAGAGCATACTCCTGGTTTTCTTTCAATTTTTTTTTTTTCCTAAAAGATTGACTGTCTTTCTCAGACACCTCAGGTGAGTTTCTCTCGCCTCCCATAGATCCTGTAAGATGCAGAATCTTTTCTGAGTCTTAAATCCAGCCAGAAGGAGGGAGAAGCCGTGCAGCATTGCCATCTGAAGGGAGCAGGACATTAGGTAGTCCCAACCCATCATCTCAGGCAGCTCTGGGTGAGTCAGATGAATCCCACCCACTGCACAGTTGCAGGCTCTAGCAAAATGACTCACCACTCTGTTATGGTAAATAGCAGCTGAGAGTCTTGCCCTGTGCAGATGTAAAACACTTTAGCCTCTCACTGCAGCAACACCGGGTGCAGTTATTCACTGTGGCCGTGCCAAAAACTTGGTGGGTTGGTATTTATTTTTTTTCAGTTGACAGCTGATTTCGAAGAGGGAGACAGGCAATAAAAATGCTGTGAATGGTGAAGGAAATGAGTCTGACTCACTTCCACTTTCCCTTTCACATTTTTAATCCTGTGCAGTGCTGCCTGTGACAGGAGTGGGATTATGCTGGGATTACTGATAGCAGTCTCTGATCTGCTGTGTAGATGGTTTTATTTTCAATCCCCTTTTTTTTTTAAACAAATCTTTTTTTATTTATTTTCCTATTTCCCTTCAGCAACTTCTACCTGACATATTTAAATTGCTTCTCTTTCATTCCTGTTCCAGCTGCAAGCACATCTCCTCCTTGCAAGTAAATATGTTTTGAAAGGGAGAGGTAGGGAGAAAAAAAGTTAACATTGCTTTCTATTTTGGTCTTAAGAAAATAAGGAAAAACTGTGAACATGAAAGGGCTGGTTTTGCAGTGAAACTGTGGTGTCTTTCAGAGGAAAGCACTGGCTGTTTTCATTTTCAGACCCTGGTAGAAGCTTGAGAAAAAAAGCAGGTGACACTGAGTTTGTGTTAACCATCCAAAGGCTTGGGAGGGGAAATCAAACAGGTTTCATGTCATTAACTGGCTGTCTGTAAACAAGGTAGTTCACATCCCTGTGCCTCAGGTCAGCCTTTGTGTGTACAAGCAAGAATTTGGGAGGGTTTGGGCAGTGTTTGGCATTCCTTGCTGCTTTAAATTGACCTGTCAAGCAGTGTGTTATGAAGCAGTGCCTGGACACGTGGGGCAGAGGGGCATGAATGAACATTCAGGGCATGAAGCCATCTGAAAGAATGTGGTGGGTGTTTGCACAGAACTTCCCATACTCCAGGCTTGGCAATGCACAGAGCAGTTTTAGAAGGGTACAAGAAAAAGGCCAAGAACGCCCCTGAACAAGGTGAGGAACTGCTTACTGCAGGTTCAGGTGCCTGGTGAGGGTCCATGACTGTCAATGCCAGAGGCCACTGCTCTGTGTTGGTGTATGTGTGTCCTCAGCAAACTGTTCTGCTTGAACAACTCAGCTCTCTGAAGAAGATAACTTATAATCCATGTTGTTGCTTTCTTTATTTCCAAATAATTATTAAGAGCACCATTTGAAGACAATGCATGTTTTAAATATCGAAGGAATGTTTTCAGCCCCTATCTTTCATTTGGCTGGAGCAACTTACCTTCTTTGATAGCCTGTGTGCAGAATAGTCTCCTTGTTCCAGAGGTTAGATTGTACCAAACAGGGACAGAAACATAAATATTTACTGCCATCTTTTGGGCAGTGTGGGTATGACTCAAAAAAAGAAGGGGTCAATTGAATTACTCTGCATCTCCTTCAGCTTTGTCAGCTGACTCTTATCTGGCCACCAAATACAACAGTTGGCCAAAGAACATCAGTTTTTTAACAGTTATCAGTCCAAGGCTCTAAGTGAAGCGAGGCTCCTAAAGGGAGGTGCTTACTTTGGCTTGAGCAAACTGATAGATTTTGGGCTAAAAAACCTAAAAGGCTTTGAGCACATCCACCATTCTTAAGCTTTTGACACAGTGTGTGTTCATTGCTTCAGACTGCTGGGAGCTTTATGTTTTGCTCTGCTTTAATGCATAATTGCTAGGATTCTTGAAGTCAGACCCTGACCTTTTCAAGAAATACAATTTCAGTACTCTGTAGTCTGCAAGAATATTAGAGTGTCAACATATGTAGGTTTATTTTTAAATGTATGTATTTTAGCAAGATAGGATATGTTGCATCACACTCCTCTGACCCTTTCTTCTTACACAGTGTATTGTTCAGTTGAAATGCTGATTAGGTGACCTTTCCTAATTGCAATACATTATTTTTCATCCACTTGAGGTGTCAGGTTGTATTTTTAATATCATACTTAATCAAACTTTCAGTCCTGCAGTCTGAGCAGATGCACATTTCCTGCTGTGGTAATAGCCCCTTCCTTGAAACTAGTTTGAATATAATAGCAGCAAGGTACTTTACTCTTTCCAGAAGGCTGTGTCTCTTAGTGGGCAGAACCTTCTTTTAATGCAATGAGATCATTTATTAAGGCTTTGTAGAAAGATGAAATTTTTATCTGGGATTCATATGTGTTGCTGATTTAAGTACGATTATCGTCTTATCCTTACCATCTGGACCTCCACAATGTGCCACAAGGGAAGAACTTGCTCAATGTAAAACTTGGTTTGTTGTTTATTGAGGGGGTGGCAGCAAAGATAATCGTCCTTCCGCTCACTGTTCTTCAGCTTGCATTGAGCAAGCAAAATGTGACTCTTTGCTCTTGTCTTGTGTTTGTTTTAGGTGAAACTTCCTTTTCCTGTTGATCAAATCACAGATCTTCCAAGGAATGATTTCCAGATGATGATAAAGATGCACAAGCTAACCTCAGAGCAGCTCGAGTTCATCCACGATGTCCGCCGGCGCAGCAAGAACCGGATCGCAGCCCAGCGCTGCCGCAAGAGGAAACTGGACTGCATTCAGAACCTGGAATGTGAAATCCGCAAGTTGGTGAGTTCTGTGCCCTCGCTGCAGCCCAGCTCACCCTCACACTGTAGCCTGCAGGGCACCAGCAGCAATTCCAGCCCAGACTTCAGGGGGTTCAGTCAGTTTGTGCACTGATGAGCAGAATGATGCACAATGGACAGTGCCGCCACATTTTAATGTAAGGCAGTGAGGTGACAGGAGCGAGGCCAAGGGGCTGCTTAAAAAATTCCTCTCACTTTCAGTCATGGGATGGACACCTCAGGTGGGGTTTGTTGTGTTTCATTTTGCTTTGTTCTCTGCTCAAGCTGTAGGAAACATCGTGTGAAAGAGGCAGGGATCTGTTGGAAGAAGCTGAGTTACCATCACCTCACAAATGGCAGAAAGCCACAAGACTTTGGGTTACTCACTTGCTGCCTGTGCCTGTCTGCTTCCCGTCTGTAACAGGGAGGTGGCACTGACCTCACAAGCTGGTTGGGAGGCTTAAATCATCAAGGCTTGTGAAGCTTTCAGATGCTGTGCTGCTGAAGCCCTGGGGGGAAAAAAAAGAAAAATCAAAACATTGTTCAGAGTAGTGCTGCACTGATGCAAAACAAACAACACAACAAAGATAAACAAAATAGTGAGCAACTGCTTCCTGCACTGAGTATAATGCACAGTGTGTACAGGGTGAGTCAGAGGTTCTGCACAGTGAAAGAGTGGATGGATCCTCATCAGGTTGTCAGAAGAAGCAGGTTCAGTCTTAGCTGCACATGCCTGTTGCTCTGCACTGAGCTGGTGATGGGGAGGAGTTCCTGTCTCACTCTCCAGAGCCTCAGGAGCAGCACTCTGAGGGCTGGACTAGCAGCAGGGGGTGATTCAGCCTTATACCTGTTGCCTTCACTTGAAAATTAGTTTGAGTTAATTGATTTCACACAATCCTGTGACATTGCCATTATTGTCTGATATAGTAAACTGTAGACAGACAAAATAAAAATTTTAAGTCCTCTCCCCAGCACAAGCACTCATCTCAGGGGAATGAATGAAAGGCATATGAGTGGCTTGATCCATGCTCAATTTGAGGAATCAAAAACCATTCGAGTTACAGGATTCTTCCCAAAAAAAAGTTGACATTTCTATTTAGCAAAGGGGACTTGAATATGTGGCAATATGCAGTGAGTGAGCCAAGTAGGGAAGACACCCCACTGGACCTGTTTGCAAACAGTGAAGGGCTGGTGGGTGAAGTGATGGCTGGATGCCTTCTTGGGCACAGTGATCCTAATTTGATGGAGTTTTTGGTTTCTGGAGAATTAAGTAGGAGGGTCAGCAGAGCTGCCACCTTGGACTTCCAGAATGCAGACTTTGGCCTGTTTAGAAGACTGGTTGGGAAAATCCCTTAGGAGGCAGTACTGAAGAGAGGAGTTCAGGAAGGTCAGACATTCTTCAAGAAATAAATCTTGCTGGCACAAGAGCAGGCTGATCCCATGTGCAAAAATATAAGACACTGGAGAAGACCAGCATGGCTGAACAAAGAGTTTCAGCTGGAACTCAAGGAAAAAATGGAGTTTATTATTTTTGGAAGAAGGGGCAGCTATTCAGGAGGACTACAAGTATATAGTGAAGTTATACAGGGAGAAAATTAGAAGGGTAAAAGTCCAACTAGAACTTAATCAGGCTACTGCTGTAAATGACAATAAAAAATGGTTTTTTAAACAGACAAGCAACAAAAGTAAGGCCAAGGAGAATCTCCATCCTTTCTTGAATGCAGTAAAAACACAGCAACAGAGAAGGAGGAAAAAGCTGAGGTACTTAATGCCTTCTTTGCCTCAGCCTTACTCAGTAGTAAGACTGATTGCTCCCCAGGTACCCAGCCCCCTGAGCTGTTAGACAGGGACAGGGAAAACAATAAACATATAACACATGACCACTGGAAATTCCTTTGTTTTCTTCTGTCCACTTTGTGATCAGCAATTTCCAGTCTCATGAATTACATAATGGTGCTGTTGTTTAAGGGTTTTTCATGTGGCTGGGTCTTTTTTATGAAAGACCCCTTTCCCCCCTGTAGTTACTGTAAGTCACCCATCTTCTTGACACAGATGGTTTCACAGCAGACAGTGAGTGAAATGGTTGTATCCTCAGAGTTTGATAGGTAATTTTTTTTGCCTGCTTTCTCTCACTCATTCATCTACCCACTCACATTCCCTTTTTTCCCTGCAAACTCGCAGCATATTCTCCTCCATAATTCATCATCTCAAGATGTACTTGAGCATCTGTTTATTTTTTTATTATTTTTGTGCTTTCTTGATAGATTTATCAATATTTTAGCAGTTAGTTCTTTTCATGTGTACTGCTCTCTTTCACATTCATGCAGCTGTATGCTTCCAGTGTGGGCTCTGGACCCAGGGCAATACTATCAGCTGTCAACAACCACCCATAGCTGGATTATCTGAGTTGTGGAGCTTTCACACCTCAGATGCAGAGACATCTTGGGTTTAGCAGTGTTACTAGGTGAGATACGTGGCTGTGCTGCTTTTGGGGCCAGCTCAGCTCTGGAAATAGTTCTGGTACTCTACAAAAGCTCATCTTCTCTCTCGAGCTGTGTGCCCACCTGCCTGAGACAGAAGGAGATGCAGCAGGACCATCCCAGTCAGTCTACAGTGAATCAACACCATTTTTTAGAGGTGAAACCCTAGGCTGGGTTCATAAAAATATCTGTATTAGATCGAGCTCAAACCATTAAACACCAGAACATAAGAAAACAAGCCATGGTGCAGGCCACAGAGCACACTTAGGTCCTCTCTTTGGAATAAACTCACCTCTCTCAGGAGTAAGGAGCTCCAGGGGTGCACCCAGCCTAAGCAGCCAACCTGACAGTTCAAGGGTGAACCAAACACCAGCAGCTTATCCTCATTTCAGGAATTAATTCATTCTCTTGCTGATTAGATAGGAAATGGCACTTCTTCCTCAAAATGTTTTGTTCAGAGTTCTTTTATATAATCTATTGGGCAGCCTTAGTTTATAAAGGGAACAGTTCTGTGGAAATAACTTGGGATTCTATCCTCTTCCAGTTCAAATGTTTTTCTCCAGATGTTTCCCAAAGTTCTGTCCACACAGGCCGTGGTGGTCAAATACTTGATGTCTTTGTGACTTTTCCTCTGGCCATATGAAAAGAGGTGTGACACATTGGTGTTCTTGGGTACTGCTGCATATGTATTGTATTTGCAAGGACCCTCGTGGCAGAGAGGAATGATGAATCTGACTCCATGTTCTCAGAAGGCTAATTCATTATTTTATGATACTATATTATATTAAAGAATACTATACTAAACTATACTAAAGAATACAGAAAGGATATGTACACAATGCTAAAAAGATAATAATGAAAACTCGTGACTCTTTCCAGAGTCCTGACACAGCTTGGCACTGATTGCCAATGAGACAAAGCAACTCATACCAGAATCCAATAAAACAATCACCTGTGGGTAAACAGTCTCCAAACACATTCCAGACAAGCAAAGCAAAGGAGAAGCAAATGCGATAATAATCATTTTCCTTTTTCTCTGAGACTTCTCAGCTTCCCAGGAGAAAAATCCTGGGCGAAGGGATTTTTCAGAGAACGTAAATGCCACACATATGTGCCCAAAGTGAGCAGGCAGTGGATGTCCCTTCCTCAGTCTAAGATGCCTTCTTTCTTTTTCAGGTGTGTGAGAAAGAGAAATTGCTCTCAGAAAGGAACCAGCTGAAAGCGAGCATGGGAGAATTGCTAGACAACTTCTCGTGTCTTTCCCAAGAAGTGTGTAGAGACATGCAGAGCCCGGAACAGATCCAAGCCCTCCACCGATACTGCCCCGTTCTCAGACCCATGGATCTACAGCCGGTCACCACCATCAGCCCCGCCCCAGCTGGTGTGGAGCAGGGCCTGGTGAGCTCCCAGTGTGTCGGGGAGAGCATGCAATGCTGCTCAGAGCAAGGCTCGGTGCAGCTGGGAGCGCCCTGGCTGCCCAACAACATCTCGGAAAATTGTTCGGCTGGCGCGGGATTGGATGGAGCCGACGCAGGTACTTACCCCGAGAGAGAGCTTCCACCTGAGCAGAGCAGCCAAACGGTCACGGTAGACTTCTGTCAGGAAATGACTGATAAATGTACAACAGATGAACAACCCAGGAAAGATTACACCTAGTGACTCGTAACCTTAACGTTACACCTGGTCAGGTGTTCTTCAGTCAGCCAGTGGCAGTGTTCATTTGTTGTCTAGAAGAACGTATTTGGTGCACACTACAGTGGTCTTAGCAGCAATACTGTTTTTAAGTATTCCCTCCTCTCTACAAGCAGGAGTTCTCTTCACAATGGTGCTATCCCTTGCTCAGGCAGGGAATGAAGCAGTGGCAACACTGTCTGTTTTTGTATGTTGATTTCAATCTTAACAGGGATGGACATAACACCTCTGAGGACCCAACCGCAGCTTTTTTCTCAGTGGCCCATGTCACAAAACCCTAACTCAGGAATTTCCTCTGAATGTTCAATTTTTCATTGAAGACAGCTTCTTTACACATCAAAGTTTTATAGCTAAACTGTACATATTATATATAATATATATAAAATATATATATCCATATGCAAGAGTCCCTGCATGCCTCAATTTTCTCATCCTACAAACTGGAAGATTTCATTTCTATTGTACAAACAAGTTCCAACATTCCTTTTTGTCCTTGATGCTAGAACTAGTTTGGTAACTTGTTACACGATAATTTTTTCCTCAGTTCGCAGTTCAGCAATAGCATTCAATTTGTACTTATTTATAAAACTTTAATGTCGGAAACTTATTTGAGATTTTATTATAGACAATTTTTTTGGCACAGCCATTTCGTGCCATTGAGCAATGTGGAGTTATTTTATTTTCTTGCAGATACTGTACAGTAATGGTCAACTTTGCCACTTGCACTGAGTTTCTGGTCAAACCTCTTTTCATAAATGAAGTCATGACTTCAGAATAACTTGAGTATATGGTTTTCTTTGCTTTATGGCTTAAAGGAAATAGAAAATTTTTATCTAATAGACAAACACTCAGGAGCTCATTATGTAGTAAAAACAGTCTTGCCAAATACTGAATTCACTATACAATTTGTAAAGAGAATCTGCTTGAATTATTTTTATATTTAGACTTCTTTCTGTTTCACAAACCAAGTTTAAGTGCTGTTAATGATGGTTTTGGAGTCTTATAGGGGAAAGTATATTTCACTCTTTAGAGAAAAGTGTATTTGACAACTGGATCAATTCATCAAATGTTCCACGAAGTAAAGCAAACAGAGATCACGTCAATATACCTGGGGGCTTTTTCTTCAGCCCCACTCTGCATCCTTTATTCATGGAAGCAACTGCTGCTCCGGCTAAGTCCCCAGAGCCTGACCTCAGCTGTCCTCAGACGTTACCTGTTCTCCCCACCAGACCCAAGTTGCAGAGCTGGGTCTGGTGAAGTCAGTGACCCTGCCTAGGTAGGCAGAGTTGCAGGATCACACCCCTAGTTGTTGACTTTGGTTTCCTTACGGAAGTCCAGCTAGCACTGTATCCTCTAAGAGCAAAACATACGTTTGCCAACACCCTATTTGGTCACTTACCCATCAAATTGTTGTGTTCCGGGATCCTCTCATCCTGCAGCATTGCCCTCAGCACAAACTGCAGCTAAAAGAGCGCTGTCTCAAAGGAGACTACTCAGTGAATTGGCTTAGTTGTAACTGTATTGGACTTGTATCTTAATGTTGACTCATGTTATGACTGTGTGAGACAGCAGCTTTCCAAGCATAACATCTGTATGTACAGTGTAGACAGAAGAACAACCTCCTAATGCTTTTTTTAATAATTATTACTATTCTAAGTGTACTGAGTTTTTATTTTGTGGTTCTTTGCCCTACGTGTGCCAGGTTGTGTGGCTTTATCGACGACAACTGTCATGTGCTTTATTGGCTGATATTGTCTGTTCTCGCTGAAAAAAAAATGACCAGCTGTTCACACCTGTTAAAAAAAAAAAAAGTGTGGGGAAGCAGCTTCTCAGAAGCACTAAGTGATAATGTGTTCTTCTGTGCTAACGTTTACACTAGAGGTGTGCGCTGGTGGTTTTTTGAGGCACTCAAGTAGATCAGCATCTTGAACCCTGGAGGAGGAATCAGCTCCCTCTCTCCACTTTCTTCCATCTTCAGACTGTGCTCATGGACTGTCGCCCACTCGCCACAAAGTCTTGCTTTTATCCTCCTCATGCAAACTATTGTAATTGTAGCCAAGCTACTGAGGAGGAACTGCATATAGCATGTGCCATGTTTGTTGAAAATACTTTTTTTCCCCGCATGTACAAAGAAAAACTAGTATATAATGTAGGAGAATATTTATGTTTAGGTATTAATCATTACTGTACAAAATCCTTACCTTTAAATGTTCAAAAATATACAAATGCCATAAACTCCTAGTTCAGACGGTTGAAAAAGGGGGAGGAGTTGTCCTTTCTTTTTAAAAGAGCTTAACCTAAAAATATCTGAACCCCCTCCCAACCATCCTTTGCAGGTAACTTCACTGAGAAGCTCTTTGGTGGGGGGTGGGATTTGATTTTCCTTTGAATTTGTTGACGTTGCAAAGCAGTTCTGTGCTTCGCAGAGAAGTTTTGTTTCTATGAGACCATGGTGAAAGCTAGAATTTAAAACTAAATGTGAATCACATTATAGAGTCATAGCTACTTGGGGGGGGGGGTTGGGGGAGTGGGAGGGAAGGGTCAACTGACACAGTATTTTAAAGATGTTTTTCTGTTGCCTTTTTTATTTTTAAGTGACCTCCTATATATATGAATAGATAGAATGTTTTATGAGTATAAAACCAAGTTTTAACTTGCTTCCTGACATGAAGATTTACTCTACTAACAACTCATGTGCAACTGGTACTCTTGACCTCATTCCGACGGTTTAAAAAACCCACCCACACAACCCATTGCGCTGCAGCTCTTAGGTTTGACCTGGCCTCATACTGGTGCTGGGTCCCTTGATTTCCTCTACCTTGGGAACTGATATTTAAAACCACTGCTCAAATAAGTGTCTCTTCCTCAACCTTTCTCTCGTCTCTCTCTTTCCCTCCCCTGCAAGCTTTTCTGGATGTTTGATTTCATTCTTTCCCATTAGAAGTGGCTGATTTTGTGTCATTGCTTCCTATATTTACATTATCATGGTTTTTCAGTGGGGTTTTTTTGGTGGTGGTGGTGGTTGTTTTTTGTTTCTATTTTGTTTTGAGGTTTTTTTGCTATTTTGAACCATGTGGCTTTCAAAGCAGTTACTGGGCTAACATTTAAAGGAAAATACTGGGAGAATTAGTTTCAGACCTGGACATCAGTTTACATACCCAAACGTTCTTGTCTCATGAGGTCAAACCAATGACCACAAAACATCATTGGAAAGAGGAAAAAAAAAATCTGACTGCAGAATTCTAAGAGTTTGGCCAGTGGTCACTGTGATCTTAAGAATCTCTTTGCATTTGTCAAAGAGGATACATGCAGCATCTCTCCTGCTGGGCGTTGCTTGGGAATGGCATGGTGAGACCCCATCTCCCCTCTGAGCACTGCTCTGCTCCCATGGGCACGTGAGTCCTTGGAGCTCTGTCCAGTCTGTATCTAGTCCTCCTTTTCCTCTGCCATTGCTATACTTGTATTGCCAGGAAACCTCATTTCATTTAGGCTTGTTATGCTTTGTCAGGTGAGTACTACACTATATAATGTGTTTGTTTCTCTGCGTTCTCTGGGGGTGCCTTGAACACAATTAAAGCTCATTGCAAGCTGATTCTGGAACAAAAAGGTAGTGAAAAAATAAATTTAAAAAAAAAAGAGTGAAAACAAAACAGAAAACAAAACAAAAGCAAAAACGTTGGCTGTATTATCAGGAGATCCCAGTATTTATATCACTGACTTCCTAACGTGATGACTCAGGCGTCAAGAGTTTGATGCTGCAGTATAAAACTATTATTTTATATATTGTACAAGTAATTTATTAAATGTCTTTCTAAGGGTATATGCTGCTTTTAAGATGCACTATATTTTTGGATCTAATCCCTGTATTATTTTTTTCCCAAGGAAGTAAAATGTGCTGCAAAAGCAAGCCACAGTGATTAGTATGCTAACTGCTACTTCTCTTTAAAAAGCAGAGTGGGAACGAGATATGTAACTTTGCTAAGTGGATTAACTCCTGCCAGAGAAATGATTAATGCTGATACTGTGGTTGTTAATCTGGAGTGTGACACTTCATCATGTCTGTATCCTAAAGAGTGCTTAAATAGAAGTTAAAATGCCTAGATATATAGTTAATTTTTTTAATATGTGACTTCATGACTGCCTAGTAAATAAAACAAATCTGCATGCTGGAATCACTATAATCCTGTAATAAAATGAAAATTGATCCACTAGGAGAAAATGTGGTGAAGCATTGCAATTCCAGAATCAACACCACATCCTCATCTGTGTCTTGTAATCCACTGCTGTGGTGGTGAGGAGAGAGTAAAGGGTGCATTCGCCGAAAAGGAGACCCATAGTGAATTTTGCAGTGAGACAAAGTGGATGTTTGCCAGCTTTCCGCAGTCTCACATTTTGCTCCACTTGACATCCTCTACCATTACAACAAGCAGTGCTGCTTCCACCTCTTTTTTTCCCCCGATCTGAGATGCTTTTGAAGGTGCCTCTGGGTGAATGTTGTAGCCCATGGCTACAGCATTTTAAAAGTCTCTATTTTAGGGCTGCCTTGAGAAGTTTTATCTCAGTATGAGCAGCGGCTTTGCATAAGGAGGGGATCTGCTAAGTATGGAGCAGTTTTATTTTTATCAGAAGTGAGGTGAAACTCAAACTATTAACATAAAGAATTTCTGCTCTCTTTCCTGGTAAAAAATTTCTCAACAGATTTTGACTTCATTTCAGTTTTGTCTCTGCCAACACAGTCCAAGTTAATTTTGCATCCATATATAGAATACATGTATGTATGTATGTATACATACATCTATAATTCTAGTCAGTGTGTGTTTGTGTATTTTACTGTTTATAATACATATATGTATATTTATAATACTCCCTGGAGTATTTTATGACTCAGGCATCAGGTCTGATGCTGTAGAATACAATATATGTGTATATGCATATGTTCAAATACTGTGTGTATATTTAAAAGATCTATTGTTGGTGGTCTGTAGAATAATAATTCCCTTTACTCTTAAAATTTTAATG